GGTCCGTGCAAGTCAGACCACTGACCACCCAGGGCTGGGGATTTTCAGGGGCACGCTTCCAGCTTTTATTCTCCAGAAACTCCAGTTCTTTCTGGCACCGCTTGCCAGAAAGTCTTCCCCTGTTGGAAGAGGTCACTTAGTCTTTCGAGGGGCCAGATTGCCAAAGCCCGGCCAGTCCGTTCCCACGAGGAAAGGTAGCTTTGTCTTGTACAAGATACTGGGGGGGAGACACAAAAGTTTAATTTAAAAGAACTGCCTAGAATAGAAAGCAATTCAAACATAAGGCAGACAAGACTCGTGCAAAACTGAATTACATTGGACTTCAAAGGAGAATTCTTTCCCTCTGCACCTCAGAGAACCCCAATTTTCACCCAGGTCCCGCTCACCATCGTCACACAAAACGTGCTGACAACATTTTTCACAATGCCAGTGGAGAGATATCAGAGCACACTGCACAGGGAACCCGAGGCTGCCCCTGGATCCCTGCAAGTGTTCCAGGCCAGGCTGGATGGGACTTGGAGCATCCAACCGGGGATGAGAGGGGAAGGTGTCCCTGCCCACGGAAGACAGGCTGGCCTTTGAAGGTCCCCTTCAAACCAAATCGCTCTGGGATTCCCCTCCAAAATCACTCCCAAAGAGACACAGCAATCAAAGCAGAGGGACTGCACTCCCAGCTTTTCTTACCTGCAGGCACGCAGCACAGCACGTTGGACATAAAAGCCACAGGGTTAGTCCTGCCAGAGGCGTCCGGCACACCCACGGCGACCGAAGGGAAAGAGGGAGCCTGGGAACACGGAGTAAAAGACACCTTAATTAGGACTACACTGAGCCATAGCCAGGTCATTCCCACAGACAGCTTCACCGTCCAGTCACACAAAAAGCACTGACCTCCCAGGGCCTCAGTTAGGATGGCTCCTGACGCTGACACCTCCGTTTGCCCCGGGGGGTCAAGAATAACATGCCTGGGAAGAAGTCACCCCCAACAACAAAAAGGGAAAATTAGTGAAGCACGGGGTCCTCTTCTGACTAGATTGCCACCAGCATTCCAGAGCAGATGACACTTTCTGTTACAGACGAGAAAAGCCTGTTCTCCCAAACAAACAGCGAGGAGATTTATGGGCACGCCTGAAAATTTCCTGTGAGGAACTTTTTGTAACTAAGGAGCAGGTGCTATCTTGAGTTGAAGGCACCAATTTGACAGACACTTAGGACAGCAAACTCTTCAGCAGAGCAATTAACTGCAGCCTATTTGAACAGCAGGGGAGAGAAAACGACAGTCGAAGGGAAGACAAGAAAAGCAGAACTGGAATCAGCAGACTTTTCTTCCATCTCTCCCGAGGAAGTCTAGTTTGTCTGTTCTAATAATTCTATGCCCTTTTCTACATGAAACTTAGAGCAAGGCTGAAAAAACAACTAGAAAACACGGAGAGAAGCTTTTTAGAATTTCACGTGATTTTCCCAAACCGATGCCAGAAAAGCAGAACTCGGTAGAATGTACTCACCTCGAGGCCTTTGGTCTTTTCTTCCCTAAGCTTCGTCACCTGATTGAAAAAGCAGAGTAGACTCGGTATTTAGGCTCCCAACAGGAAAACTTCCCCTTCATTTCCTAAAAGAAACTACATTAATCTGCACAGCTGCAGGCGCGTCTCCAGCTGTTAAAGCCTTTCAGCTTTTCGGAGGGTGAGAATGCCCTGCTAAGGAAGGCTGAAAACTGCTCGGAGCCTGCACAGGTCCAAGAGCCCCTTGATTTTGTCTGTGTTCCAGTCCCGGGCTAAAGAAAGGGCAGAAGAAGCGCAGTTGTTCCTTGCCTCTTCCCTAAGAGGTTCGGCCAGGTGCTGGGCCAGCCCGGGCACTCCGGGGGAAGGCCGGCAGTGCCCAAGCAGCGCCGCTTTGCCAGGGGCGTCGCTTGCAAGAGCGCCGCCGAGCGCCGGGCCCTGCCTCACAGTCGCCGCCTGGCGGACACGGCCGGGAGCGGTACTGCAGCCGCGCGCCTCCCCCCCCCCCCCCCCTCCTTGGCGAGACCCGCGGCGCCTTTGGACGCGCCCAGCTTACCCCGGGGTCGATCTCCGTCGAATCTGCCGCCGTGGGTCGCTTCCGGGGGGGGAAGGCGGCGGCGCAGCCCCGATAGCATCTCCAGGGCACGGCGGGAGCGAGCGGGGCAGAAGCGGGGGCAGGGGCGGGAGCGGGAGCGGAGCGGGGCGAGAGGGCGGCGCGACGTGCGCGCCATGCGGTCCTCGCGCGCCGCGGCCCCGAGACGGGGCTGCCGGCGCCGGTGCACTGCCGCCGCCCACGAACCTGCCGCCCGCGCCCGGCGCCGCCGAGCGCCCCGCCCTGTCCCCGCAGCGGGAAGCAGCGCGGCGAGACGGCGCTGCGGGCGCGGGGTGGGGGTCCGGGTCGCGGCGGAAGGCTCTCGCCGCCATCTTTAGTGTGGTCGTTCCGGTCCTGGCGGCGCCATCTTTACTGTGGGCTTGGCGAACTTCCGGGCCGGGGCCGCCATCTTTAGTGTGGTCGTTCCGGTCCTGGCGGCGCCATCTTTGCTATGGGCTTGGCGGACTTCCGGGCGGGGGCCTTGGAGGACTTCCGGTCGCTCACTACTTCCGGTGACCGAGTTTACCCAAATTAGCGTCCCTCCTCGCTAATTTCTGCGCTTTCACCCCAAGAAATCTTCACGTTATTCCCCCCCCGCACACCCCGGGACAGACGGGAGGCCGCGAGTCCCGCCCTGCCGCCGGAACCGGCCCTTAACTCGAGCAGGGAGCGCTGCACCGGCACGAGAGCCACTGCGCATGCGTCGCCGGTCCCTCTCCTGCCTGCCCTTACTTACCACGTGATCGCCGGCGTTTTGCCAACGACTGCGCATGCGCTGTTCAAAATTTTTTCAATGCAGTTCCTGTTTTCCGTCAGCAGGTGGCAGTATTTCATCTCAAATATATGTGCAATTCTTTTTCTCTGTCACCAGGGGGCACTGTTGCTATGCGATTTTTTACTTATGGCATTTTTTTTTGTTTTATAACCGTATTTGTTCGTGTAGTTCTTTTGGGAAATCGGATAATTGGCTTGTGATTGCTGGTGGTTTGAAAATTTACTTGTGTAATTAGGCTCTTCTCCTGGTTTTAATTCTCTAGGCTCTTCTCCTAAGAGAATTAAAATCAGGAGAAGAGCCTAAAAAAAAAAAAATGAAAATCAGGGGAAGAGCCTAAAAAAAATGAAAATCAGGAGAAGAGTCTAAAAATATAAAAATCAGGAGGAGAGCCCAAGAGAATTAAAATCAGGAGAAGAACCTAAGAGAATTAAAATCAAGAGAAGAGCCTAAAAAAATTACAATCAGGAGAAGAGCCTGAAAAAAATTAAAATCAGGACACGGGACTAATACAATAAAAATCATGAGAGGAGCCTAAAAAAATTAAAATCAGGAGAGGAGCCTGAAAAAATTAAAATCAGGAGAGGGGACTAAAAAAATTAAAATCAGGAGAGGGGACTAAAAAAATTAAAATCAGGAGAGGGGACTAAAAAAATTAAAATCAGGAGAGGGGACTAAAAAAATTAAAATCAGGAGAGGAGCCTAAAAAATTAAAATGAGGAGAAGAGCCTAAAAAAATTAAAATCAGGAGAGGAGCCTGAAGGAATTACAATCAGGAGAGACCCAGAACTCACCCAAGTCTCCCCAAAAAACTACCAGAAACTGATTCAAATCTCCCCAAAAATGACCCAGAACTCACCCAAATCTCCCCAAAAAGTGACACAAAAACTGATCCAATTCACTCCAAAAATTGATCCAGAACTGACCCAAAACTGGCCCAAATCACCTCAAAAACTAACTCCAAATTGGCCCAAAACCTGACCTAAAAATGCAAGAACCCCCCCCCAAACTGACCCAAAATGATACAAAATCAGCCCCAGATATGACCAGAAACTGACCCCAAAATCCCAAAACACTGATACCAAGACTCACCCAAATCTCCCCAAAAAAATGACCAAAAAGTCAGCCCAATCACCCCAAAAAATGACCAGAAACTGACCCAAAATTACCACAAAAATAAACCCAAAACTCACCCAAATCATCCCAAAAAATGACCAGAAACTGACCCAAATCTCCCCCAAAAATGACCAGAAACTCACTAAAAATAACCCCCAAAAATGATCAGAAACTGACACAAATCTCCCCAACAAATGACCCAAACTTTATTTCTTTTCTTAGCAACAAATCCCTTCCTTTGCTCCCCTCTGGCCCTGCCCACACGGCCCCAGTTCAGCTCTCAGTGAGTTCTTGCTTCTGGGCAGCGACTCCTCTGCCTCTTGCTGGGGCGGCAGCAGCTCCTGTGCCGGCAGGGAGAGGGACCCCGAGCCAGGAGAGGGACCCCGAGCCAGGAGAGGGACCCCGAGCCAGGAGAGGGACCCCGAGCCAGGAGAGGGACCCCGAGCCACGAGAGGGACCCCGAGCCACGAGAGGGACCCCGAGCCACGAGAGGGACCCCAGAGCCCCTACAGAGACCCCAGAGCCATTATAGGGACCCCAGAGCCACGATAGAAACCCCAGAGTCCCTACAGAGACCCCAGAGCCCTTATAGGGACCCCAGAGGCCTCCAGAGCCCCTATAGAGACCCCAGAGCCCCTACAGAGACCCCAGAGCCATTACAGGGACCCCAGAGCCCTCCAGAGCCCCTTGCTGGGTCACAGCCCCTCTTCTCCCGCCCAAACCCACCTTTCTGGCTGCAGCTGCTTTTCTTCTCTGGCTCCCCCTTCCTTCCCCAGGGAGCTTTGCCTTGTTCTTTGGCCAGGCTCCAGCTGCAGCTCAAGGGCAAAGCTGCAACTACAATTCCCCCTTCGGCTTTTTCACCTGAAAAACAAAGGCTTGGGCCAAACTCTGACCAGTCACTCGCTGAACACGAGACATCAAACAGGGCACACAGAATAAAATGCATCCAACTCTAAATCATGTTACAATGACTGTCCACCCCAATCCAGCACTGACATTAAAAACCTTCAAGCAATCAAAAAGACCTCCAAACATCCCTTAGATAGAGAAAAGCACACCAGGAACGAATGCAAAAAGAAAAATTCCAAACAATGCTCAATTAAATAACCATGGACTGATATAAAACATGTTTAGGGAACTTAAACCACTTCTTCCCATTATTCTCCATCAGAAATTACCCTTATTTAAGTTCTCCTTTTAACACTTCATTAAAACTGACTTATTAGGAAATGGTTTGAACCAAACTTCGTAACTTGATGACTCCAGGGTTTGTGCTCCTTGACTTTGGCCTGAAGGGGTTTGGAACACAGGCTTTGTTCTGGAGAGCTTTTCCCCAATCTACAAACCCTTCTGCAAATGGGACTCCCTTCCCTCAGGGTTCGGTGGCCTCTGGTTTTCCTGAAGGCTGGGGGGGATCTGGGAGCCAAATCCCAAGGGATCCAGCCCAGCTCTGCACACACACACACACACATTTCCAGCTGGTCACAGTCTCACGGGGGCCACCACCACTCAGCACATTTGCACACAAACACCCCTCTGAGTTCCTGGCACTGGGTCTGATGGACTAAGAAATGATCAGTCTGGTGGTTTGCCCTCAGAGGAGTAAGATCCAATGATGCATTTCTATTTTCATGACAATATAACCTGGAAAACACAAACATATTTCTGCTTCATGTGCAATTTAAAATTCAAAGACACAGAAACATTCCTAGAGTTCAAGTCCCCAGGTTTGGTTCCAAATGTCACTCGGTCCCCCTGGGACAAGAACAGTGGCACACACGGACTCAACAGCCCTGCACAAGCCCAGGAGTGCGGGGGAAATATCCTTGAGAGCACTGCTGCATTTCAAAAAGAAGTCAGTCACATCAACTCTGTAACAAATAAAAAAGAGAAGCCAAAATAAATAACTGTAGACAGGGTATCAAGTATCTTGAGAATACCAATAAGAAAAAACTAAGAATAAAGGCATCTATTTGAAGTACAAAGAGTTTGGGAGACACCATTTGTTTGCCACAAAGCCTTTATTTTGTTGGCTCTTCTATAGTTAGAACCCAAACCTTACCCTCCCACAAAAAGCAGAAAACCTCTTCAGAGAGTTAGGAGATGGAGTCAGTTTGGATTAATGGGAAGAACATCTCTGGAGACAAAATAAAGCAGAGAAAATAACCCCATCCTCAACAACAGAGCTGCCTCCCCACTGCCTGCCCCTGGACACTTGCTCTGGGGGTGACAGAGCCTGAAGTCTCCTGCCTAGTCCTGGGCAATACTTCCTGGGGACCACAGCACCACTGAGTTCCTAAAAATATCACAGGTTGGGCAGGTGCTTGGATTTTGTCTGGATTAACTCCCCTTCTTCCTTTCCAGGTGCTGCCCTACTCATTGTAATGGTGCTTGTACTCCCTGAGCCATTCCCTCCCCCATCCAACCATCCCTTGTGCCCTCTCTGACAAGAACAGTGGGTCCAGGTGTTCTGCCACGCTCCCAGGGCACAGGGGGGGACTGTGGAGCCACCCTCGAGGGGGGAAACGTGCCCTGCCTGCCCTGCCCAGGGAAAGGGAACTGCCCCAGTGCTCCCCAGCACAAGGCACCCTTGGAAATATCCACTGCAATGGGACACTCAGGGACAGCAACAAGCACTGCACGAGGCTGCTCTGGCACAGGGCCAATTTTAGCCTCAGCTTTTCTCTGGACCACTTCACTTTGTTTGCCACCTCATCCTGCAGTCAGAACTTGCTGTCCTTGCAACCTTTCAGGGTGACCAAAAATGAGAGAGGCCTCTGCTCCAGCACCCACAAGGGCCTGATCCATCTGACAGGATCCATTTTTCCAGGGAATTCAAAGCTCCACCTGAGGACTAGGGTCTTTTCTCACCCATCCCTGTGCTGCAGCTTGGCCTCCATCTCACTGTGCTTTCAGTTCCCTGCATGGTTGAACACTGGCAGCCCTGGCCCTGGGCGGAGCTCGGCATCCTGATCCCATCCCTCCTGGCCCCCGGAACCGCTGACTCAGCAATGGGGGCCCTCCATTGCCAAGGGCACGGGCCCGTCGGGGCTCACGGGGGGAGCAGGAGGGCGAAGGCTCCAGCCCTGCTGCTACAACCTTCCACCACTACAGCCAACAGAGGAGCCTCTCCAGCCCTGCCTCCCAAGGCATCCTCAACAAACCCAGCCCAGCTCCACAGGACAAACTGCTCCCTGTCTGCCCAGGCCAGTCTAATCCCAGAGGCTCCCAGGGTCATGCAAAACAACTGCCCAGGAGATCAGAGACCCCAGTCCATCTCTTCCTAGCACAGGTTTGGGTTAGTTTGGCAAACAGACCAACTGAGGAATTCCCCAATGTTTTCCCAGTTTGACCCCTGTCACACCAATCACCTTAACAGTGCCAGTCCTTCATTCTCCCTCTCTTGGGTTAAGGACTGAGCAAGTTGGACCTGTGTCTGAGCAGGACATGTGCAAACCAAATGCTGGGGACTGGAACACACACCTGGCACTCCTGCAGCTCTCACAGTCACATTCCAGAGAAAACAGCCAATTGCACCCTCACTGCTCATTTCTTAATCCCAATCCCACACTTCTTTGGCACTTGGAGCACCGCTTTTAGAACCCAATTACAGCCCATTAGAGAGCTCCCTGTCTAGCAGGGACAGGGACCCCTGGGATACTCTCAGCACTGCCTGAATCCATGGCAGGGACCTTGCTTTGAGCTCCCCAGGGCCGGGCACCCCGAGGATCTCCCCGAATAATCCTTTCGGTGCGCGCTGGAGTCCTCGGGGTGCCCCAACCCGGGGGGCACCAACAGCACTGTCCCTCCAGGGGCCAATTTGGTCCCAAAATGCAGGGGGATCTTGCCTGTGTCCCAGACTGGTCCGGAGATCTGAGGCCCTTCCCGAGAAAATCTCGGTGCCGGCGTGAAGGGCCAGAGATCCCTCGGAGCCACGGGAGAGCAGGCACCGAGTCCCTCCTGGGGGGCAATTTGCCTGCCTGAAAACAGCTCTTCAAAGGAGCCTCTAAGACTCAGCTGGTGACTTTTAGAAGCCAGGCATTCCTTGCTTACAACACCCTGCCATGATCCCAGCCCCACGGGGGTCCTGGCAATCCGCTCCCAAAGGGCACACGGAGGGGTCTCCACTGCAGCTGATGGGAGGGGTCAGCATTACAGGAGGGCTCATTTTCCTTCCCTGCATTCCTGTTCCACATTCAGGACATTTCCCAACACTTATCACCATACACAACTACCCTTAGAAGGTTTCCAAGGGGCTTCACCGAGGGCCTTCCCAGGTCTGCTCTGTCTGGAGCCCTCCAAGTCCTCAGTGCCTGCCTGAGGAACCTCAACACAACTCACCTGCTTACACAGCAACTTGGTGCTGCTTGCCTGCTGCCTCACTTCCCTTCTTCCTTCTTTCTTCACCTCCCTTGCTTGGTCCCTTTCAATCCCTGGGCTCAGCTCTGTGCACTTTCCAGGCTCCATCCCACTGCAAAAAGGATTAGCCCTTGTTACATCTCAACACTCAGAGAGCATTCCCCCTTTTTTCTTAACACTGGGCCATCAGGCCAGGGTCTCATTATTTAAAGCACAGTTTGACTCCTCAGTGACAACAACAGCTACAGCCCTGAATCCTAACACAGGCTGAGACACAAACACGGATGGGAACTCTTAAGGATCCACTTTGTCCTGCTCACCAATCAAAAGGAGCTTTCTGAACTCAAGAATAACAGACCCCAGGTCCTTTTACTGCAACTTTACCTGCTATAAATGTGACCCACAAGACCTGCAAAGGCCCTTCCCACTTCACCTGCAGGGCTGGCAGTGCCACCACTGGACACGGCCCCAGTGGCCGGGCAGGAACGGAGGGGCTGGGGCGTCCAATCCATCGGCCCAGGCGGCACCAGGAGTTCCTGCAGTTCCTGAGGGGAGAGCCTCAAGCCAACAAAGGATTAGGAAGAATATTTTAAACTTCAATGTGTCTATCTCCTGGAATATGGGGACTTTGATAAGTCCTACTGGTGCAACAAGGACACACTCAAGGCTATCTATTCAAAGGATCTACCAGCACTCAAAAGCTATCACTGTCCTTCTGTCAGGGGGAACGCAGCAAACTCTCTTTGCCAGGAGCCTCCAGGAGGACTTCCAGCTTTTGGGGCTCCCTTTTAACCATTTTTCCCATAACTGGAGCTGGGACTATCACCTGCCCTACAGGGGGAACAGCCCACAAAGTTCACCATCAGGGATGCCATTAACTGAAAGTCCCTTCTCAGGGGGGTCACTGCACACCTTGGCCTTTGTTTGCCCTCCCCACCAAAGATGCTTCCAACAGTTCTGACACATCTGGCAGACCCAGAGCTCTCCTCAGGGAATGCTTCAGCTGCTTAAAGGCTGCCCTTGCACCATCTATTCAAAAAGTCGCCATAACAGTCTTACCACACATCCCGAGGGAGCAATGCAGAGTCCAGCCCGTCCCACCATTCCCAGCAAGGCAGTTCATGGGCTGTCTGGGGCTCAGGGAGGAGTCACGGGGCTTCTCTTCTTCCTGCCCGCTTGCCCCATTTTCTCCTGCAAAAGCAAAGCTTTCTTGGCTTTCCTTGCTCAAGGAGATGCAAAGGCCATCTTTTAAATCCAATACTGGAAACTCCTCCAGGTTGTCATTCAAGGTGCTTCTCTCAGGTCCTGCACTAATCAATCATCTTGTCCACTGGTTTTCTTGGCAGGTTCTTGCATTCACGTCCTACAAGCAAACCAGGAGGAGCCAATTTAGCTGTTCCTGCAACCAATCCAGTCTGGCATTCTGATTTTAAAGGATACTGGGTTGGCCTTACCCATAGAGATCCCACATCAGGGGTAATACCTACAGGTTCTGCCCTCTTCCACTCTCCTGCAGCTCCACTGGCCCACACCACAGGAACAACTGCAGCTGCCACTTCAGTCAGGGCCTTGCTGCTGACAGGAGTTATTCCCTGCACAACAAGAGCTGCTGCTTGGACACATTTAGTTTCAGCAATTACAGTGTCAAGAGCCCCAGTTTTCAATTCCATTTCTGCCTCAACTTTTCCAGCCCATCACTTCCTAGCAGAGGTTTGGGTGAGTTTGGCAAAAACACAAACTGAGGAATTCCCCAATGTTTTCCCAGTTTGACCCCTGTCACACCAATCACCTTAACACTGCCAGTCCATAATTCTCATTCTGCTGTGTTCAGGACTGAGGAAATTGTACTTGTGTCTGACCAGGACATGTGCAAACCAAATGCTGGGGACTGGAACACACACCTGGCACTCCTGCAGCTCTCACAGTCACATTCCAGAGAAAACAGCCAATTGCACCCTCACTGCTCATTTCTTAATCCCAATCCCACACTTGTTTGGCACTTGGAGCACCGCTTTTAGAACCCAATTACAGCCCATTAGAGAGCTCCCTGTCTAGCAGGGACAGGGACCCCTGGGATACTCTCAGCAATGCCTGAATCCATGGCAGGGACCTTGCTTTGAGCTCCCCAGGGCCGGGCACCCCGAGGATCTCCCCGAATAATCCTTTCGGTGCGCGCTGGAGTCCTCGGGGTGCCCCAACCCGGGGGGCACCAACAGCACTGTCCCTCCAGGGGCCAATTTGGTCCCAAAATGCAGGGGGATCTTGCCTGTGTCCCAGACTGGTCCGGAGATCTGAGGCCCTTCCCGAGAAAATCTCGGTGCCGGCGTGAAGGGCCAGAGATCCCTCGGAGCCACGGGAGAGCAGGCACAGAGTCCCTCCTGGGGGGCAATTCTGCTGCCTGAACTCAGCTCTTCAAAGGAGCCTCTAAGACTCAGCTGGTGACTTTTAGAAGCCAGGCATTCCTTGCTTACAACACCCTGCCATGATCCCAGCCCCACGGGGGTCCTGGCAATCCGCTCCCAAAGGGCACACGGAGGGGTCTCCACTGCAGCTGATGGGAGGGGTCAGCATGACAGGAGGGTTCATTTTCCTTCCCTGCATTCCTGTTGCACATTCAGGACACTCCCAACACCTGTTCCCATCTACACAAACCCTTATAAGTTCTCTGAGGGGCTCCATTGGGGGTCTCTGGTGGTCACCTGTGCCTGCAGACCCCAAAGTTCTCAGTGACCACCTTATCAACTTCAAGACAACTCACCTGGTTGTAGAGGAGCTTGGTGCTGCTTGGCTGCTGCCTCAGTTCCCTTCTTCATTCTTTCTTGACTTTGCTTGCTCAGTCCCTTTAAGTTCCTTGGCTCAGCTCCATGCACTTTCTAGGGAACATCCCACTGCAAAAACTACCAGTTCTTGGTACATCTCCTAACTCAGATATCAGGGAGTGAGGCAGAAATCAACTCATCCAGGGCACTGCCTCCAAATATTGGGACAAAAACCCCATAACATTCCATGGCTCCCCTTGGCAAATCAACCCCAAACTGCTCAGACACAAACAACACCCTGCACACTACAACAATCTGGCACTGCTGGTTCAACCCGGCCAAGTCAGTTGGGAAACTACACAAGGTCAACCTCCTTCCAAGTTTCAGTTATGACACAAAAGTCAGGGAGATCACAGACTCCCCCACAGAGTTTTACTCTGAGGAGAGAAGGAAACCAAAGCCATCCCCAGGGCTGCAATAGCTCAGGCTCCCCAAAAGGCCCAGGGGCTTCAGGTTTCTGAGGGGCTTCACCGAGGGCCTTCCCAGGTCTGCTCTGTCTGGAGCCCTCCAAGTCCTCAGTGCCTGCCTGAGGAACCTCAACACAACTCACCTGCTTACACAGCAACTTGGTGCTGCTTGCCTGCTGCCTCACTTCCCTTCTTCCTTCTTTCTTCACCTCCCTTGCTTGGTCCCTTTCAATCCCTGGGCTCAGCTCTGTGCACTTTCCAGGCTCCATCCCACTGCAAAAAGGATTAGCCCTTGTTACATCTCAACACTCAGAGAGCATTCCCCCTTTTGCCTTGACACTGGGCCATCAGGCCAGGGTCTCATTATTTAAAGCACAGTTTGACTCCTCAGTGACAACAACAGCTACAGCCCTGAATCCTAACACAGGCTGAGACACAAACACGGATGGGAACTCTTAAGGATCCACTTTGTCCTGCTCACCAATCAAAAGGAGCTTTCTGAACTCAAGAATAACAGACCCCAGGTCCTTTTACTGCAACTTTACCTGCTATAAATGTGACCCACCAGACCTGCAAAGGCCCTTCCCACTTCACCTGCAGGGCTGGCAGTGCCACCACTGGACACGGCCCCAGTGGCCGGGCAGGAACGGAGGGGCTGGGGCGTCCAATCCATCGGCCCAGGCGGCACCAGGAGTTCCTGCAGTTCCTGAGGGGAGAGCCTCAAGCCAACAAAGGATTAGGAAGAATATTTTAAACTTCAATGTGTCTATCTCCTGGAATATGGGGACTTTGATAAGTCCTACTGGTGCAACAAGGACACACTCAAGGCTATCTATTCAAAGGATCTACCAGCACTCAAAAGCTATCACTGTCCTTCTGTCAGGGGGAACGCAGCAAACTCTCTTTGCCAGGAGCCTCCAGGAGGACTTCCAGCTTTTGGGGCTCCCTTTTAACCATTTTTCCCATAACTGGAGCTGGGACTATCACCTGCCCTACAGGGGGAACAGCCCACAAAGTTCACCATCAGGGATGCCATTAACTGAATGTCCCTTCTCAGGGGGGGTCACTGCACACCTTGGCCTTTGTTTGCCCTCCCCACCAAAGATGCTTCCAACAGTTCTGACACATCTGGCAGACCCAGAGCTCTCCTCAGGGAATGCTTCAGCTGCTTAAAGGCTGCCCTTGCACCATCTATTCAAAAAGTCGCCATAACAGTCTTACCACACATCCCGAGGGAGCAATGCAGAGTCCAGCCCGTCCCACCATTCCCAGCAAGGCAGTTCATGGGCTGTCTGGGGCTCAGGGAGGAGTCACGGGGCTTCTCTTCTTCCTGCCTGCTTGCCCCATTTTCTCCTGCAAAAGCAAAGCTTTCTTGGCTTTCCTTGCTCAAGGAGATGCAAAGGCCATCTTTTAAATCCAATACTGGAAACTCCTCCAGGTTGTCATTCAAGGTGCTTCTCTCAGGTCCTGCACTAATCAATCATCTTGTCCACTGGTTTTCTTGGCAGGTTCTTGCATTCACGTCCTACAAGCAAACCAGGAGGAGCCAATTTAGCTGTTCCTGCAACCAATCCAGTCTGGCATTCTGATTTTAAAGGATACTGGGTTGGCCTTACCCATAGAGATCCCACATCAGGGGTAATACCTACAGGTTCTGCCCTCTTCCACTCTCCTGCAGCTCCACTGGCCCACACCACAGGAACAACTGCAGCTGCCACTTCAGTCAGGGCCTTGCTGCTGACAGGAGTTATTCCCTGCACAACAAGAGCTGCTGCTTGGACACATTTAGTTTCAGCAATTACAGTGTCAAGAGCCCCAGTTTTCAATTCCATTTCTGCCTCAACTTTTCCAGTCCATCTCTTCCTAGCAGAGGTTTGGGTGAGTTTGGCAAAGAGACAAACTGAGGAATTCCCCAATGTTTTCCCAGTTTGACCCCTGTCACACCAATCACCTTAACACTGCCAGTCCATAATTCTCATTCTGCTGTGTTCAGGACTGAGGAAATTGTACTTGTGTCTGACCAGAACATGTGCAAACCAAATGCTGGGGACTGGAACACACACCCTGCACTCCTGCAGCTCTTACAGTCACATTCCAGAGAAAACAGCCAATTGAATCCTCACTGCTCATTTCTTAATCCCAATCCCACACTTCTTTGGCACTTGGAGCACCACTTTTAGAACCCAATTACAGCCCATTAGAGAGCTCCCTGTCTAGCAGGGACAGGGACCCCTGGGATACTCTCAGCACTGCCTGAATCCATGGCAGGGACCTTGCTTTGAGCTCCCCAGGGCCGGGCACCCCGAGGATCTCCCCGAATAATCCTTTCGGTGCGCGCTGGAGTCCTCGGGGTGCCCCAACCCGGGGGGCACCAACAGCACTGTCTCTCCAGGGGGCCCAATTTGGT